AGAAAGTAGAACTCATGGAAAATGCTTTCTGAGAGTTTAAGCACACGAACTCTGTTCTGTGCAGCTCAAAGTGAAAACATGGCCTGGTTCTAAATGTAGCAGACTTCAATAAACATTCTCACTGTTTACATGATTATGCATTTCAGATATTAGAAAAAACAAGAATATGATTCTCTACGTAATGGGTTCAACATCTCTAATTACCAAGCACAGAGTAAAAATAATCTAGGCCACAATCTCTGTGATTTAGAAGTAGAAGATTTTGAGTAGAAGCTCCATACAGACCGGGTGGTACAAATGTACAGTTCTCAGAGTTAATGGGAGATGCTCTATGAGGATGTGCTTCCTGTAATATTTTTTCTAGGGGACACTTAGTTCATTCTATGGAATTGGAACCATCCCAGGAGTCATCTCTCACAGAATTACGTGCTGCTTCAGGCATCCAAGTGTAAAGAAGGCTCTCACAGTTCTAATATATTTTTTAAATAGTTAGACTGTAAAGTGTAATAGGACTTAAAATTTCCCAAATTATATATTTTGATCTTAGTGTTGTAAGTACAACTCTGAAGATAAATTAAATTGTTTTTTTGAAATATAGTGTTGTAGGGACTTATTGAAGGCCCTAGAAGTTACCTGTCTGCTACAAAAGATTTGTTTTTATGGGATTGGATGATACCGTGTTGATTTTGTAGAAAATTCTATATTTTCAAATTTTTGATATTGCAAATTTAATTTTACTAACAGACCCATGGAGTGGTTATGATGAAGTGGAGTTAGGTAATTGGAAATAAAAAGGTATACAATAATCTAATTGTTTCAGACAAAATCTCAGGAGGCATCTTTGCTTTTTTCCATTTTTTTCATTACTGCAAATGCTCTATATTCTGCTTGCAAAGTAAGTATTGTGATTATATTGATTTTTCTACATCTCCACTTGCCACAGCCACCATCTTCTGTTACCTGTGCTACTGTGTTGGCTTCCCATTTTGGACATCCTAAAATTAATTTTCCATATGGGAGTTAGAAAGTTTTTTTTTTAAGTGTTAAGTTGGATCATGTCACTCCTTCTTTAAAAGCCTCTGTAGCTTTATTTATAATGGCCAAACTGAAAACAACCCAAATATTTATCAACCAGTGAATGGATAAACAAATACTACCTTCGTACAATAGAATTCTTTCAGCGATAGTGAATAACTTATACCTACAACAACATAAATGAGTCTTAAAGGAATTATGCTAAGTGAAAGAAGTAACACAAAAGGTTACATGATTCCATTTATATGACATCCTGGGAAACTATAGGGACAAACATTAGATCAGTTGTTGCTAGGGGGTAGGGGACACAAGGGAACTTTTTGGGGTGAGGAAATTATTTCTTATGGTAGTTACACAACTTTACACATTTGTCTATAATTATCAAACTGATAACCTGAAAAGGATAAATTTTATTACATTCATATATGTGATGGTTTTATATATATATATGTATATATATATGACTGCAATAAAGTATATATTATTTTATATAATTATATTTAATTGTATAATTATTATATATAATATACATATGTATATATATTATACATAATATTTTTTTCTAGGAAGATGGTGCATTCTATGGAATTGGGTCTCTCTCTTTCTCCCCCTCTCCCTAATTCCATAGAATGCACTGTCTCTCTAGAAAAAAATAAGAGAATGAACACATCTTTCTAAAATGCCTCCCTTTAACTCTGGGAATTGTACATGTGTACTATGGAGTCTGTGGGGAGCTTGTACCCAAATTATGTATACATGAGGTCAATTATATCTCAATAAACATGATTTAAAAAACATTGTATGTTCTACTGTTGAACTTAGAATAAAATTCCAAACCCAGTTCTAGCCTGTAACACCCTTTGTGAACTTGCTTCTGCCTGCCCTTCACCTCATCTTTCTCCCTGCCTTGCATTGTTCTAGACTAGTTAGAGTGTTTTCTTAGACATTTTAAAAACAAATAAATCATTAGCCTTTAAAATAACATTTAATTTTTATTAAAGAGAATTTAAAGTATAAAATTATGTATTAATAATTTCTTGGCATAATACCTAAATACCTATATTTTCTCATAGAAATGAAAAGCCCCACCTGTAGAAGCTCTATTTTCATCATAGTAGGCATCCTGATTCTCTGTTAGCTAATGGAGAGGGAAGAGAAGAGGCAGTAATTTTTAAAAATATTTTTATTGGGGAATTGGGGGGATGGGAACAGACAAGTTGCTGTCCTTTTGTTCTTCAGTCTAGTTGTGCAGGACGTTGCTTCATTGGCCCAAGTTGGCACCATCATTGTGCTCTTCCCAGGCGAGGCAGATCAGTCGCCTGCTTCTGGACGGCCACTCACTGTGGCTGCTGGCCGCTCACTGTGGCTGCTGGCTGCTCACGCTGGCTGCTTGCTACACATGGTAGCCCATGGCAACCCACTGCCATAGGGGCTGCAGTCTACGCCGTTCCCGGCGACTCACGGCAGCCCAGCTCCAGGTTGAGCTGTTGTTCAGCATCTTAGCTGTNTTTATGGTTTCAGGTCTTACATTTAAGTCTTTAATCCATTTTGAATTTGTTCTTGTATATGGTGTAAGTAGGTGGTCCATTTTCATTTTTTTTGCACGAGTCAGTCCAATATTCCCAGCACCATTTATTAAATAGACTATCTTTACTCCACTGTAAATTCTTGCTTCCAATGTCATATATTAAATGACCATATATGGATGGGTTTATTTCTGGGCTCTCTATTTTCTTCCATTGATCTACCTGTCTGTTTTTATGCCAGTACCATCCCGTTTTGATTACTGTAGCCTTGTAGTATGATTTGATGTCGGGTAGCGTGATCTGCTTTGTTCTTATTTCTCAAGATTGCTGTGGCTATTTGGGATCTTTTATGGCTCCATATAAATTTTCAGATTATATGTTCTATTTCTGAGAAAAATGTTGTTGGTCGTTTGATAGGAATTGCATTGAATCTATATATTGCCTTAGGTAGTATTGACATTATAAATATATTAATTCTTCCTATCCATGAACATGGTATGTATTTCCATTTATTTGTATCTTCTTTGATGTCTCTCTTCAATGTCTTATAATTTTCTGAGTACAGGTCTTTTACTTCTTTGGTTAAATTTATTCCTAGGTATTTTATTGTTTTTGAAGTAACTGTAAATGGGATTAATTTCCTGATTTCTTCTTCTGATAGTTTATTATTGGTGTATACAAATGCAACTGTTTTCTGAATGTTAATTTTGTATCCTGCTACCCTACTAAATTCATTTATAATTTTTAAGTTTTTTTATGGGAGTCTTTGGGATTCTCTCTATATAGTATCATGTCATCTGCATATAATGACAATTTTACTTCCTTCTTTCCAATTTGGATGCCTTTTATTTCATTTTCTTGTCTGATTCCTGTGGCCAGAACTTCCACAACTATGTTGAATAGAAGTGTTTAAAGTGGGCAGCCTTGTCTTGTTCCTGATTTTAAAGGGAAAGCTTTTAGCCTTTCCCCATTGAGTACAATGTTTGCTGTGGGATTATCATATATGGCCTTTATTATGTTGAGATATGATCCTACTATTCCCACTTTGCTAAGAGTTTTCATCATAAATGGCTGCTGGATTTTGTCAAATGCTTTTTCTGCATCTATTGATATGATCATATGATTTTTATTTTTCATTTTGTTAATGTGATGTATTANGAACTGGGGCCCTCTAGCATCCCAAGCCAGTTCTTAACCATCGCGCCACTCGGCTGGCCCCGAGGCAGTAATTTTAAATATCTGAGACCATGTTCAACTAGGTCAGTGGCCAAATATTTTCTGTCAGTTAAACATGATATAAGAAAAGATGAATTTATGCTATATTAATTAGCTAGACAAATGATTTTCTATATCTATTATATAATAAGACACTCAAGGGGGGCCATTTTTCACTTTATAAAAATATGAAAATTAAATTTCATTGAATAAAAACCTCTCCTACCTTATTTTCAAATACAAATTTAACATACAAACATTTAATTACATATACTTTGGATATACCCCTTCTTGTAGGTTGAATGTGGGTCAACACACAAACATACAGAGGGGATAACATAAAAAAAATAGAAACTGTAGAAAAAAACACATATCTACACCCACATGCACATTATATTCATTTCTAAGAAATATCTACTTTTCTAATAGTGGAATCATATAAAAGTAAAAATTCAGTTCACATATCTAAATTAGATTTACAAAGCTTCTATAAATGTGTTAAAACAGACTCACATAAATCACTAAAATGTCATCTTAAAAAAAAAAACAAGTCACGTTTATTATCTGATATGCTCCTCACCACATCAGTCACATTTACATATGATGCACCTCAGGAATATGTCAGGACTAGACAGAATTTTCAGCTCATGTGAGAAATAGCAAAAATACAAGTTGATTCTATTGTGGGATTATGGGACTTGAATTTTATAAGTTTTTCAGTTGACTATGTCCTCCCTCTCTCCTTTCCTTCCTCCCTTCCTTCCTGCTTTCCTTCCTCCCTTTTTTCCTTCCTTCCCACTTCTCACTCTTCTTCAGCCTTCCTTTTATTCTTATGCTCACTGAAAAGATTATGGTCATTGCAGGAAGTTACCAGTTTATGGCTTTAGCACATTTTCAATTTACATTAAACTTTTGCTGCTCAACATGAATATAGTCAATATAGATTGCATGCTAGCCTGAATCCCAGAATTTTTTTTCCCTCTTTTAATTTCCTGTTAAATTGTCCAAGAACAGGATGACATTACTCAGAAAACATCTTGCGCAAGGATGCCACATCTATCACTTGACTAAGAGTATGGTTTAAACTTTATAAATCAGCAGGGTGACCTCCTGTTTCCAAGAGATGGCCTAAAACGCACTGGGCAGAGAGCTCTGGCTCTTGAAATAGCTGTTCAGTGTTACAGATGTTCAGGTGACTGACTGATGGTTTCCTTCCCCCATAAGACAGCTCCTGGGACGCTCTAAAATGTGACTTCAAACCGGAGTGACTCTTGGGAACTAGATTCGATATGACATGGTCTCAAGGCATTCCTGGTTTGAAGTTCTTCCAGAAAGTCTGGTAAGTTCTAAAACTCCCTTGGAAACCAATCCTCTCTGACAGCACAAAGAGGGATATATACACAAGAGAAATATCAAAGTCAATGCCTTCCTTGGTGCTTGCTGGGTGTAGTGTAACATAGTAGTTAGAAGCTCTAGTTCTGAAGTGGAGATGTGTGGCTACCCTTCCTAGTTCCATCCCTGCGGGATGTATGCTCAGAGCCTGTTTCCTCATTAATAGTAACAATGATACCAATAACAATAATAGTACTTTTCCAATGGAATTGTGGTGAGGGTTAAACTAAATTAACACAGTGCTAGCTCAAAGTAAACACTAAATGTTACCTCTTAGTATTGTTGTTATTGCTATTGTTATTCTAAGCCTCAGCAGATAATTTGGCCACAGCTGAGTATTGGTGCTTTTCTCATTTTATCAATTGTAAGAATAACATACAACAGTTGTGATAATATATATGTAGAGAGCTAAGCACATTGACAAGTAGAATTAAAAATGCAAGTGGGTGTTGGAAGTTAAAATATTCATAACCAGTTTATCTGGAGAAAGAAACATTTTAAGTTTTAAGTCAATTTATATTGTTAAGTTCAGTTTTATGCACAAACCTCTCATTTCCATGGTTTTACAATTACATGTAATATGTAAGGGCACCAAAATATTACTTAGAGTGGGAGGTAGCTTAAGAAGTAAATCAATATATGTTATTTTTTTTACTATATCATTTCTTTGAGAAATTAAGGTAAAAAAAAGAAAAATCTCTTCAAGTTCCTTCAACATTTTGTGTTTCTTACACAAAATACTAAATCAAAACAAACAAAAAATATCCTGTTTATTTCTTTCTATTGCACAAAATTTTCTTTGGTAAATTCTATTTAATAAATAGACTATGAAGCTAATTATTAAAAATACACCTTCTAGGAAATAAATAGGCAAAAATTACTATATTGTTTTAATAGGAAATCCTAGATGAATTTTCAATGGAAATATTTAACACTTTTATAATATCTATTTCCTCAGCTTTCTTTTTTTCTCTTTATTATTTTCACCACTACTACTATTATTATTATAGCTACACAGAAATGACACATTACTAAATACCAGTGAATGGTGGAAAAAGGTTAAGCAAAGTTAATTTATGCAAGAAAACTCCAGCTAGAAATGCAGGAAGACCTTTTATTACTTAATAAATATGCACATTCTTTGTACAGTTCATATTTATTGGCTGAGTATTTCCAGGCATCCAAATAATTGTCATTCTCAACTGTCTCTTCTCATGTCTTAGCCAAGCTAAATCACAAAGGACAAGCAGCTCAGAGATTAGCGAGTGCTTCTCAGCTGCCCCACAGAAGTACTGGGAGCCAGCCTGAAGAGTTTCCCAGAAGGCCTGAAAGTATGCAGCAGTTTACCAGAAACAGCCCTGCATCATTTTTGTTTTGGATTCATCTTCCGGCTTTGTGATCTTGGGCGAGTTACTTACGAAACTTCATTGCTTCACATGCAAAACAAGAGGAGAAATACCCATCTTACAACCATTCCTGTTTCTTTGGCGTGAGAAACAAAGGAGATAGTGCCGGTAAAATGTTTGCTAAGTGTAAGATGCTTGTTCCATTTAAATCTATCACAGCTGTTTAGGGTGCCATTGTTTGAAACTTGGTTCTCAAATGGGAGTAATGGTTGTGCTCACTGCTCAGGGTTGTTGGGAGGGAGCTATACATATAAAACAGGTGGGGCAATTATTGAAACATTTTAATGCTGTTTTTTTTTAGTGAGACACTTTTTTTCTGCAGCAAATATACAATGAATATCCATATTCTATTTATATAATTCACCAATTTTAACATTTTGTCACATTTTCTCTCCCTCCCTCCCTCTTTTCCTCTTTTGTGTATGTATGTATTCTTTTTCTCTCTTTTATTATTAGTCTCAGGTGTACAAAACAACATAATGATTAGATTTACACCCCTCATAAAGTGATAACCCCAAAAAGTCTACTACCCATCTGACACCATACATAGCTATTAAAATACCACTGACTATATTCATTTTTTAAATTTTTAAAATTTATTTTATTTTATTTTAATTATTTTTTATTGTGAAATACACATTTTTTAGAATTAGTTTCAGCTGTACACCACAGTGCAATAGTTATACATTTTACCCCTCGAGGTGACAACCCCCCACCCACAATCTGCCGCCCCACTTCCCCCCAATATCATACATATCTATTACAATTCCCTTGACTCCACTCCCACACTATACTCCACGTCCCATGATTATATATATATATATATATATATATATATATATATATATATATATATATATATATATTCACTTATAGTTGACATACAACATTATACATCAGCTTCAGGTGTACAGTGCAGTGATCAGTGATCAACCCTCTACCCCATCCATGATGTGGTCTCCCTAGCAAGACATGTGACCATCTGAAACCCTACAAAATATTTACAACATTATTAATTATATTCCTCGAACTGTCTTTCATGTCCCTGTGGCAATA